TTTACACATAGACATCAATTAGTCCATAAATAATTAATTTTGTTTGTTAAGCGCAAATATTTGTTTCAAAACTATTTCTAAATTCAGTTCTAATTTCTAGCAAATTAATAAATGAACAATAATGACCAAGTGTGGTCAAAATACTGAGTTATTTCCAAATACACATGCTGTGCCCCATATGGTCTAAAACCTGACAGGTGGGCAAATCTAAGCTTGTTTTTAATAAAACAAATATAAATATGGATATAATAAATAATACTGTTAATAATAATAACATTATACAAAAGCAAATTGTTATGAATGAACTGAAAAAGCCTCCCGAGATGAAGAAGACATAAAAGCAGTGATTTTTCATATTAATGTAGGCTAGAAAATAATATGTTTTGTAATATTTTAATCCTTTATATTTATATCCTATATCTATTCTTATTATATCCTATATATATCCTTAATATTTACATTTTTTCATATGTAAAGATATTTGCCTATTGCTCTCTTGTGCGTATTAAGCAGTGTGTAAGCGAGGCCCAACTCTGCGCCGGAGTTTAGACCGGGTTAGTTTTGGTGTAATGAAAAATCTATTATAGTTTCTCAAAATAGCAACGCGCCAGCGGTCCGCCTCAGAACGCCTTCCTTTTTAGACCAGAACGCCTAAGGGCGCACAAATGAGCGCTAATGAATTTGCTATTTAAACAGCGCAACGCCTCAAAACGACTCTTGCGCCAAGCTGAAACTACCAAAAGACTATTGCGCCGCGTCTTGATAGGGCCCTAAAAGTTTAACCTTTATAATATGCATATTATATACTATTATAATATGCATATTTTATAATGTATGCCTATAATAATACTTTTTTTTCATTCTTTTATAATACACATTAATGACTTAAGTTAATACTGAGAATTTTTACCATAAATTTTTAAAGTCTGGATGCTTTTTTGTACTTTTATTACAAAAATATTTATTCATATTTTAACGTCATTTCATTGTCAAAACTATATTCAATATTAGTGATGACAAAATATTAATAAATAAATGACATTTATATACAGTTGAAGTCCGAATTATTTGCTCCCGTTTATTTTTTCCCCCAATTTCTGTTTAATGGAGAGCAGATTTTACAACACATTTGTAAACTTAGCCCTTGCATAGTTTTAATAACTCATCTCTAATAACTGATTTATTTGATCTTTGCCATGATGACAGTAAATAATATTTGACTAGGTATTTTTCAAGACACTACTATACAGCTTAAGTGACATTTAAAGGCTTAACTAGGTTTATTAGGTTAACTAGGCAGGTTTGGGTAATTAGGCATGTTATTGTATAATGGTGGTTTGTTCTGTAGATTCGAAAAAAATTAGCTTAAAGGGGCTAATCATTTTGACCTTAAAATGGCTTTTAAAAAATTAAAAACTGCTTTTATTCTAGCCGAAATAAAACAAATAAGACTTTTTCAGAAGAAAAAATATTATCAGACATACTGTGAAAATTTCCTGAATCTGTTCAACATCATTTGGGAAATATTAAAAGAAAAATAAATTCAAAGGGGGGCTAATAATTCTGACTTTGATTGTATAAGCTATTCGTTGTATAATATATTTTTTTGTTAAATATGTTACATTTATTGTATTTAATTTTGTATTTGTGTATTTAGCTTGTTAATATAATGCATTAATTTAACACATGCAAATAGGATCAGAAATTTGTCTTGAAGATAATAATCCTGATTTCATGTTGACTTTAAACATACAGAAAGGAAGGAGAAATAAGAGAGGAAGCTGAAGGAGACGCTGCTGTTCATTAGACACAAAAAAAGCATTTACTGCTCCAGGATTATAAAGTGCTGATGAATGCAGTGTCTAAACCTGTTAAACATGGTGAGGTTTTGAAGTGTGGGGGTAAATAAGTACATTTCAAACCATGGAAGTCAATGGTCGCCAACAACCAGCATTCTTCAAAGTATCTTCTTTTGTTTTCAACAGAATAAAAAAAATTCATAAAGGTTTAAAACCACATAAATATGAGAATAAATTACGAGGTCACTTTGTATTTTTGCATGAACTACACCTTTTAGGTGTCCTTGTTAAGAGTACTATTAATTAATTGTAAAAGTGCTAGAGTAAGAGGAGTGTTTTTTTGTTTGCTTTTTTGTGTCTTTCTACAGGTGGTTTGTCAAGCCCACTCACCTGTTTGAAGCACTACGGAGACACGGAAGGGGTGGAGAAAAAAAAAAGAGTGATTGGTAAACATGTTTTTGAAAGTTTTTGCATTCCCTCGCAAAGATGTTTTGTGTTATCTTGCAAAACTGTTGTTCGACAAACACCTTTCATACATGACAACCCTCCTGTTTTTGCTGGGATTGTCCCGTATTTTACCATTATATCCTGTTATTAGGTATTTTCCCATATTTCTCTCAGATTTTTATTCTTTTTTTTTTTTGTAATTCAGTTTTTTATTTCGGAAAGTGAGAATATACAATTTTTACAATCAGATAACAAAATACTTTTAACAGATATAACCCCATATATATTCCCCATCCCCCCACCCCATTATACGCACATCAGGAAACACAGAATAACTATAGTTTAGACCAAGCTGTTGGAAAATTTACATTAAGTTGTCATCTGTAGAATCAGATGAGGGTTAAGTGTCCAAGATTTCTTTGACGTTGCATATGTAGATTTTCCATGCCGTAAGAATGTCCACTTTGGCATGGTTGATCCGTGCTGATGACAGTTCCAGATACAGTATTTCCAATAATGAATGTAACCAGTGCTTAACTGAGAGATCATGAGGAGGTTTCCACCTTTGTACCAACATTTTCTTTGTAGCAGTTGAAATCATATTTTTATTCTTGAGAGCATGTTTAAATTAATATAAAAATGTCTGCATTTACTTTCTTTCCATTAAAGCTGTGCATCGATCAGCGCCCCTTATATGCAACCTCTGAATCTGAATGCATGTATAAGCACTGACTGACAGACGCGCTCCGTATGATAAATTGATCCCAGATCAGCTTCTGTACACACCATTTAAAGTGAAACTCTGTTATCAAACAAGTGAAGAGCAGCAAATGAATCTCTTGTTTTATTTTGTTCGATAACAGAGGTGTCACTGCGAATGCACTGATAACAAAAGCATACTTTAACGGTTTGTGCTCATTTAAGAGTTAAAATAAAACACGCAGGACGTCCGGGCATGTTTACATATTATTAAGTGTATTTGTCTGTTTATACGCACACCCGAATTCCAAATTGTCCTGCACTTTAGCTCCTCTTTAAATGGCGTGTACAGCTGATCTGGGAGTCAGTCAGCGCTTATACATGCAATTATTGATTCAGAGCTTGCTTATGCGGGGTGCTGATCGACGCACAGCTTTAATGGAAAGAAAGTGAGTGCAGACATTTTTATATTATGTCAACATGCTTTCAAGATTAAAAATATGAGAGAAATATGGGAAAATACCTAATAATGGGATAAAAGTGTAAAATACTGGACAATCCCAGCAAAACCATGAGGGTTGTTGTCATGTATGAAGTGGAGGGTTTGTCGAACAACAGTTTTGCGAGGGAACGCAAAAACTTTCAAAAATATATTTACCTATCACTCAGTTTATTTTTCTTCCACCCATTTTTTTCTCCACTATCACGTCCCTTCTGGGTCTCCATAGAAGCACACTTTATAAATTCATACATTTTATTTTAACGTTTTTTTAATGAATATGGATTGATTGTAAGAACGTTTCTGGTGCAAATACTGGTTCAGTTAATGTGTCAGAGTTGAAAGAGTGTGTTTTTTACAGGTGGTTTGTCAAGCCCACTCACCTGTGTGAGACACTCAGAATTGCATAATGTTTGGGGTTCTCATGTGGGCACATACCTGTATGCAGGGCCGGATTAACCAATGGGCCTCATGGGCACAGGCCCAGGGGCCCGAGTGCACTAGGGGCCCCTGCGAGGGGGGAGAAAAAAAAGACAATTTCGCGATTGTCTTTTTAGGCTAATTGCAAATAGCGCATCTAGTTGGAATAAGCTATTCAGGGTTTACGCCCATCGATGCCTGATCGATAGAGACAACATGAGTAAAGAGCTGTGTTGCATTACAGCCGCAGTGGCGCACCTCGTAAGGCGCACAGCATCATGTGTTGACGCGATTGGTCATCAACTCGGTTCGAATTCACCATCAGCTGAACTCGTGCTACTTTTTTTCTTCCCATTACATATCAGATTGGAAATATATTTATTTTTAACAGGAAGGAAACATTTTTTTAAATTTTGCAAATGTGATATAAAGTCACAAGTGTCTCGTGGGTATTTAATAATGTTTAGCCTTATTATAGGTGCCTCCCTCTCTGCAAAAACTATATTGCTCAGACAACTGTATTTCCTCTGAGCAAAAAAAATCGCGATCACATATTAATATTATTATTCTATTTAAATTATCTTTATTTCCTTAACTAAACAGAATGTTGTAAAGCAATACATTAGAATACCCTTAAAAAAAAAAATATATATATATATATATATATATATAAAAATATATATATATATAGTTTTATTAGTATCTTTATTCAATGCTTTGAAAAATAATTTAAATCTTTGTAGACTATAAATACATATGTACTATATATAATTTATACAAATATGTGGGCAACAAATTATAGATTCATTTTATTTAAAAATTATTATATTATTCTTATTTTTTAAATTCAACTATAGGGGTGCAGCCAGGTAGGGGGCCTTACAAGACAATGTGCCCAGGGGCCCCTGAGTTCTTAATCCGGGCCTGCCTGTATGTAAGCACATACAATGTGTAACAAGGACACCGTAATATAAAGTGCTACAGGTTTATTTTTAGACACCATATAGTTTGAGTTGAGATCAGCTTTATTGACAGTACATTATATATAGTGGCCAGTGCTGATTTATTCTTACATTGAGTTCTTCCAAGTTGACATGTGTTTTGTAATTTGATGTGTGTGTGTGTGTGAGACTAACCTGCCAGGCTTCTAACTGCTGAGACAGGTTGAGTTTCTGCTGTATTGCGTCCAGCAGCTGACTGTTCAAAGACATGATGTCGATCTTACATTTGGCCAGCTCCATCTCCACCGCTTTCTTCCTGCGGCAGAGGGAAAAATGAAGAGCTGCTGAACTGGATCTCAGCTTCATGTGGAGAATGGCAGAAACAGGTACAGCCTGCACAAATTGTCATATCTCTAGTGCTGGGTTAAGATTAATCACATTCAAAATAAAAGTTTTTTTGACATAATACATGTGTGTGTATTATATATCTTTATTATATATATGTAATACACACACATCAAAACAAAACTTTTTTGCATAAATATTTATATACAAGTCATATTATATTTATATCAAGTCATTCTTTTATATATATATATATATATATATATATATATATATATATATATATATATATATATATATATATTATCATCTAAATAGAAATTAACATTCTCAAGTATATGCATGCATGTGTGTATTTACACTCACTGGACACTTTGTTAGGTACACCTTACTAGTACTGGGTTGGACCCCATTTTCCCTCAGAACTGCCTTAATCCTTCATGGCAGAGATTCAACAAGGTACTGGAAATATTCCTGGAAATATTCGGTTTGAACTGCAGCAGATCGTCTTGACCATGTCTACATGCCTAAATGCATTGAGTTGCTGCCATGTGATTGGCTGATTAGAAATTTGTGTTAATGAGCAGTTGGACAGGTGTACCTAATAAAGTGGCCGGTGAGTGTATATATAGATAATAAATATACACAGCACACACACATATATTGTCAATTCAAACTTACTTTGGATGCGATTTATCACGATTAATGTTTGCCCAGCACTAGTAAAAACTGATCCTTTTCTGAGATTAAAGGCATTTGCTGACTCATGCACTAACAATATCTTAAATGTTTTGATGAAATCATCATTTTTAACTAGTGAGACAGAGCGTGTGCTGAGTGTTTATGCTAATGAAGTCTGGAGAATAAGCTTCCTGTTGTATCACAGGAAGCAATTTTCCTCTCTTTGCATGTGTTTTTTTTTTGTTATCACAGTTTCAGTTTAAAAAATACTTATTTAATATTCAGCTAAAGAAAAAAAAAAACACCTACACCTTGGTTGGCTAGCTTGGTTAGGCCAAATAAATTGACCACAACTTCTACTTTTTAGATGATCTACAGTATAATGAAGAGTGCAGTCATTGATGTTCAATAGACTCATACTTGGCAATGGCTTCATCTCTGTCTCGTATAGCGCTCTGCAACTGTTCGTTGGGTTCGTGTACTTCTGTCATCGCTCTCAACCGCTCGTTCTCTTCTCTTGAAGAAGAAACCTCCACTGAGAGCAGCGCCACCTTCAGGATACACAGAACAGATTAATTACCTGAGGAATTTATGTGTTTTGAATGAACGAGACATTCACTACCTGACAAAAGTCTTGTCGCCTCTCCAAATTTTGGGAACAGCAAATAATAACTTGACTTCTAGTTGATCATTTGGTATCAGAAGTGGCTTGTATGAAAGGCAAAGGCCTCTAGATTACGCTTATTTTACCAAATTAAAATATAATGATGCCTTGATTTTTAATTATTTCATTAGGACTGCAAGGTCTGACTTTGTTTAAACAAAAGTCTTGGCACTGAACAGAAATAATGTCCAGTATAGAATATAAAGTCATGCTGCAGTGGAAAAATTTTGAATATTGTGTCTGACTCCATCATGAGCTTGGAGGACTGCATCCATACATCTCTGCAATCACTCGAACCACTGATTAATAAAGTCATCTGGAATAGCAAAGAAAGTGTTTTTGCAGGACTCCCAGAGTTCATCAAGACTTTTTGGATTCATCTTCAATGCCTCCTTCATCTTACCCCAGATTTGCTCAATAATGTTTACATCTGGTGACTGGGCTGGCCAATCCTGGAGCACCTTGACCTTCTTTGCTTTCGGGAACTTTGATGTGATAATAAAGTCATATATACTGTTGCAAAATATTTAGACTTTCTATTTGAATTCTGTCCTTTTGATTTTTATATTCATCAAAGAATTCTTTGAACAATGCAACAACAATAGTGAACAAAATATTGAACACTCAACTTCAATAATTAACAACTCATAATAATACAACAACAAATCAGCATATCAGAACGATTCTGAAGGATCTCGTGCTATTGCAGTCACAATGAATCACAGAAATAAATTACATTTTAAAATATATTCAAGTTATTTTAAATTGCAATAATATTTTACTGTTTCTAATGCATATTTAAAAAAAACATACATAATAGATTTTTTTTTCCAGAAACATAAAGAGCCTAAAGTTATTACAAACATATGTCCTTGGAGTGTGTTAAAAAAAATAAAACTTGAACAAAACACTTGAAAAACTTAAACTCTAAAGTTTAGAAGCACAATACACAAGGATGGTTTTTACTTCATATTGTAACAAAATATGCCATACATTCTTATTTTAGATCGACATCAACATGATCACATCTCATTTGCAAAATCCCAGCCTGCTAAAAGCATACAAACACCAATCAAAACCAACCTGCCCAGCTGACCAATCAGAGCAGAGTTGCCTTAAGATTTTTTGTAGAATGCCCAAAACCTGTAACCATTGACTTCCATAGTAGGGAAAACAAATACTATAGAAGTCAATAGTTACAGGTTTTTAGCTTTCTTCAAAATATCTTTTTTTTGTTTTCAATAGTAAAAAAAAAAAAAGGTATAAAGATATAAAAAAGATATAAAAACATGAAGAAGAGGTAATAGTGACGTAATTTTCATTTTTTGGGTGAATTATCCCTTTAAGGAGAACATTAAAATAGAGTACAGGTAAAATATAGAAAATTATGGATTAAAGTTAAGTTATTAAATTAGATTGCAATTATAAGAAAAAATAGATACTCTAGTTTGTTTTTAAAGGAATTATTCATGTAATCAGTATTAATATTCATGTTTGCCATGTTTTAATTTGAGAAAATATGAAAAAATACTTTCATAGGATTAATAGCGCAATTATAATGACTTCTGTAGTCGTTGTTTATGCCTTATTCGGAACAGCTGATGGGAGAGTAAATAATGGTAGAATTTAAATTTTTGGGTGAACTATCCCTTTAAGCCCTCAATTGATTCAAATGAAAAATGTTTCTAATATTAAATTAATATTCTGAGAAAAATTTCTGACCTTAAATGCATTTAAATCTGTTGTAGGACACTCTAACACAGTACTAGATGCCTGGTTTTAATAAAGATGACGCATCTGCACCTGATTATGTAGCTGTAGCGCCTCCTCCTGGCTGCTGTGTGTTTTCTCCTGCTCCTGTTCATACAGTTCTCGGAGATCTCGCAGCTCCTCGCCCAGTTTACGAACCTGCTCTTCTAAAACCTCCTCATCGCTGCGCCGTGACCCCTGAAAACACACAAACACATGCTGAACTGGAATACTGTAGTAAAGCCTGCACATTCAGTGTGATGATACGAAGATACTACACACTTTGGAGCCCCCCAGAGATGTGCTTTACTGGTAATAATAACAGTACGAAGTCAAAATTATTAGCTTATTCTTTTTCAAATATTTCACAAATGATGTTGAACAGATTCAGGAAATTTTTACAGTATGTCTGATATTTTTTCTTCTTGAGAAAGTCTTATTTGTTTTATTTCGGCTAGAATGAAAGCAGTTTTTATTATTTATAAAACCATTTTAAGGTCAATATTTGTTTTCGATAGTCTACAGAACAAACCATCGTTATACAATGACTTGCCTAATTACCCTAACCTGCCTAGTTAACCTAGTTAAGCCTTTAAATGTCACTTTAAGCCAGGGTTTTTCAAAGTCTAAGACAGTGGGCCTCCCTTTTGACACAACTTATCCATTGGCGCCCCCCTCCTCCCAAACACACACACACACACACACACACACACACACACACACACACACACATATATACATACACAGACAGATGTCAGACTGTTAACTCACTTTTATCATCATTTGCATGAAAGTGCAATTATTTAGAGTAATAACAAGTATTTTAATATAACGTTTTTAAAACTAGGATGATGGTTCAATATGAATAGAACAGATCCAAGAACTGTCCATCCCAGTCAAAACAGTCGAAGTTTAGCGGGTCTCATGCTGTCATTAGCCAAAATATTTTGACAAACCATACATAAAGGTCGTGGTTCATCAGCTGGTCCTGTCCACGTAAATCCTAAACTCAAATACTGATCATCATATCGTCGTCTTCTGGGTTTAAGCCCTGAACTTGAAGGCTTTTGTGGCGAGGGGGCGTGGCCGAGAGCCGTTTTTTTGCTTTATTTAATTAAAACGTTTAAATATAATAAAAAATAAATACAATAATTAAACTTAATAATTATATTTTTATTGTATTATATTTCTTCCCGCGCCTCCCCTGACATGCTCTGGCGCCCCCCAGGGGAGGCGCGCCTCACACTTTGAAAACCCCTGCTTTAAGCTGTATAGAAGTGTCTTAAATGATATAGTCAAATATTATTTACTGTCATCATGACAAAGATAAAATAAATCAGTTATTAGAGATGAGTTATTAAAACTATTATGATTAGAAATGTGATAAACAGGGAGGCTAAAAATTTAGGTGGGCTAATAATTCTGACCTCAACTGAATATTTCATAGTAACCCAAACTGATTGTTGACCCCGTTATTGTTACCGTTGATTCATTGCCGTCCAGCAGGTTTTGTGTAAGTCTGCGCAGCTCCAGAAGACTAGAGTGCAAACTGCCCGTCGGGACGTCCTTAGCCGAGAGTGTCTCTGAAGACTCATCCATGGACGAGTCGGTGGATAAGGCGGAGTCTGTGATGTCATTTCCTCTGAGCTGAGAGCAGATGGAGCGCACCTGACAGTAGGCCTCCCACAACTGCAGACGGAGCTGAAGGAGAAACAAATCACAATCTTTTCGTCTTTGTATGGACCAGACACCTGATAGGCTTCCCATGCAACTTTGCACTTCTGAGGGCGCTCTACACAAGTGAGTATGTGCACGTCTTGTGTATAAGATGGATGGATGGATGGATGGATGGATGGATGGATGGATGGATGGATGGATGGATAGATAGATAGATAGATAGATAGATAGATAGATAGATAGATAGATAGATAGATAGATAGATAGATAGATAGATAGATAGATAGATAGATAGATAGATAGATAGATAGATAGATTTGGATGGACAGATGTATGGATAGATAGATAGATAGATAGATAGATAGATAGATAGATAGATAGATAGATAGATAGATAGATAGATAGATAGATAGATAGATAGATAGATAGATAGATAGATAGATAGATAGATAGATAGATAGATAGATAGATAGATAGATAGATAGGTAGGACATTCATAAACAGATACACACACACACACACACACACACAGATAGGACAGCAATAAACACAATTACACACAAACACAGGGCCAAAATAAACACATAGTACAGTCATAAACATACAAAATACATTCATAAACAGATCCATACACAGATAGGACAGCAATAAACAAACACAGTACAGTAGTAAACACAATTACACACTCAAACACCGGGCCATAATAAACACACAATACAATCAAAGTCACACACAAACCCAAAATACACAGTAATAAACACACATAGTACACTCACAACACACTGTAAAGTGATAAACATAGAAACACACACAAACACATAGGACAGCCATAAACACACATGCATATGCACACACACACACAAACCCATAATAAACACAAACCGTTAAGTCTATTGCAAACACAAGCAGTATAGTCACAAGCACATTGGACAGTCATAAACACACAAAAGCCCCCATAAACCCAAAGGACTATAATAAACACAAGCAGTACAGTCACAAGCACATTAGACAGGCATAAACACACATTAATATGCATGCACACGCACACACACTAATAAGAGTATAGGATTGTCATACTAAAGCAAACGTGCCGTTACTCATGTTATGATTGTGTAAATCCTCCATCCACAGCCATACACTACTGCATGTGTCATTTCTGACTCATTTATTCCACAACCAAAAGTGTGTGATAATAGAAACGCATCAGGGTTTGTGATGTTGTGATTCAAGCTCTAATTTTAGTCTCATGTTAGTGATCATCATTTTACACTAAACGTATTAACTTCTTTAAGGCTGATTTATACTTCTGCGTCAAACGTCGGCGTATGCTATGGCGCTGACGCATAGCCCTTCGCCGTCGCCGTCACTGACGTGCACCTCTCAAAAATGTAACTACACGTCGCAACCACGCGTAGCGTAAGCTCTGTGATTGGTCGGCTTGGTAGCGCTGACGAGTCTGGGCGGGACCGAGAGGCGCACGAATGGCGCGACGCCGCGCGAGCGATTGTTTACAAGTGTGGAGTCCTGTGAAGGAGCTCCGGATGGAAAGTTTTGTTTTGTGTTTACCTCATAGTTAAAGTTGTTGCACGTCCGCCGGTTCCTGCCTCAAAATGAGCGAGTTTGAGCCACTTGTACATCCCGGAAGTGTTTAGGAAATGCAAAAAAGTAGCGAAGAAACTCGACACAGAGGAACATTAACACCTCACTGCCAACTAGCGTTTCAGAAGTGTTAATGCAGACCAACAGAGACAGCGCGCAGAAGTATAAATGCACAGCTACGCGCGTTGCCTCCGCCGTGGGTTACGCCGGTCACTTGACGCAGAAGTATAAATCAGGCTTTAGATGTTAACATTAAGGTCTATTTTGAGCGAGAACAGATCTCTAGTTCTTAAGCCTGGTTTATACTTCTGCGTCAAGTGATCGGTGTGACCCACAGTGCATGCCACGCGCGTAGATGTGCATTCATACTGCTGCGCGCTGTCTCTGTTGCTCTGCAATACACTTCCAAAATGTTAGTTGGCAGTGAGGTGTAAATGTTCCTCTGTGTCGAGTTTCTTCGCTGGTGTTTTGTTTTTTCGGAGTGCTTCCTGAATGTACAAGTGGCTCAAACTCGCTCATTTTGAGGCAGGAACCGGCGGACGTGCAACAACTTTAACTATGAGGTAAACGCAAAACAAAACTTTCCATCCGGAGCTCCTTCACAGGACTCCACACTTGTAAACGGTCGCTGTAACGGACTCGTGCGTCCCGCCCAGACTGGTCCGTGCTACCAAGCCGACCAATCACAGAGCTTGCGCTACACGTCGTTGCAAAGTGTAGTTACATTTTTTGAGAGTTGCGCGTCAGCGACGCCAACGGCCACGGCGTAGGGCTGTGCGTCAACGTGTAGGCTGGGCTGTAGCATATGCGTGCGCTTGACACAGAAGTATTACAGTTTTTCTTGTTTGCTTTGACCTGGTTAAATAAACTAGGTTCCACTTCATTTTCATTTTCACTATCCCAGCAGAGCAGAAGACAGGTCCTGCAAATGTGTAAACCCTTTCTCATTGGGTTGACACATTTTCCCCACCATTTTTCAAAACAGTTAACACAGATGTCATTCAAGCAGTCCAAACTCCATTGTTTTAGCTATGGTAACCAAACAGAAACTGTCTATTCCTAACCATTAGACACTACCAAGATCAGTTTGAATTCACTGAAGCAGCAGTTTGACACTCCTTCACACAAATCTTCAATTAGCAATCAGTCTGCAAACCTTATATAAACGATGGAAGGTCTGTGTAGTTCTGTGCCAGCATGGATGGAGGAGGTCAATAGTGGCTATGTCCTATACTCCCAATAGATTTGACTGTATATTAATTTACATGTGTTTTCTCTAATATTTACAGTATTTTATTACTTTTGTCTGTTTTTACAGTATTTCAGTTTTTAGCCACAGTTTGAAAATTGTCAGGAATTCAATATAAATTTAATCAAAGCATTTCTTATTCTGGATCCAATTCTTTGCAAAAAAGCTAATTTTACAGCCCAAATAGAAAGACAACAAATGGCATTGGCAATAGGCTACAATGACAAGCAATGGTGGTGCACTGACTTCTGCATTTTGTATTTTGTTGTCCATTGTGCAGTGATTAATTGAAAGAGCTCATATACCTGTTTGCAAGTTGTGTTGTTTGAAGATAAAACTAGCTTTTGTTGCATATGTTAAATGTTTTGACACGATATGTGCCTTTTGCAAGCAAAATGTGTCATTTTGACGATGAGTGCTGGTGTTTAGGCCTGTGTGTTAACTGTTTTGAAAAGGTGGAGTTTCAGTTGACAACTGCATCCAAGCAATCGAGAAAAACTGTAATCAGCCTTTAAGCCTGGTTTATACTTCTGCGTCAAGTGATCTGCGTGACCCATGTTCATTTATACATCTGTGCAGTGTTTCAGTTGCTCTGCAATACACTTCCAAAACGCTAGTTGGCAGTAGGTGTTTATGTTTCTCTGTGTTAAGTTCCTTCACTGGTGTTTTGTTTTTTCTGAATGCTTCCTTAATGTACAAGTGGCTCAAATTTGCTTATTTTAAGGCAGGAACCGGCGGAAGTGCAACAAATTTAATCAAAAGGTAAACACAAAACAGCAGTCTTCATCTGGAGCTCCTTCACGGGACTCCACACTTGTAAACACTCGCTGCATCACGCTTGCGCGGCTCTCACCTCCGCCCATACTCGTCAGCGCTACCAAGCCCACCAATCACAAAGCTTGCACTACGCCTACGCGTTACATTTTTTGAGAGGTGCGTTTAAATCAGCCTTTAGTCGAGAGTGAAACTTTGCTTTGACACCCTTAAAATATTAATAATATCATTACATGTTTAAATCATTTACCCTTAGGCATAAAAACACTTTTTGCTACATGATCTGTGTTTTTAAAGCCGTGTCTTTTTTTTTTGTCTTTGTCTTTTCTCCAAATCATAAACTTAAGGATTGAGATTTATAGATGCATTTATACGAACCCCTATAGATGAATCATAACATCACAATTTAGAAAAAAATCGAAAGTAAATGTTTATGAAATCAAACAAATTAGGTGAATCTTCAATTCACCTATAGCACATATGCGCAGAGATAGAGCACCCGGAGGAAACCCACACCAACAGAGGGAGAACATGCAAACTCCAAAAAAAAATTGCTAACTGACTTAGCCGAGGCTCGAACCAGCAGCCATTTTAATGTGAGGCGATCATGCCACCTACTGCGCCACCGTGCTGCCATTTCTCGGATTGTTTTTAAAAATTAATTTAATTATATATTCAAATAAAATTTTTAAATAACATTTAAAAAATATATTTCTCAGATCATGTTTGTGAAAATTGATTTCATTATATATTTAAATACAATTTCAAATAAAATAATATTAAATAAAATTTCAAATAAAATTAAATATTTCTCAGATAGTTTGTGAAAATTGATTTAATGATATGTTTAAATACAATTTTAAATAAAATATCAAATAAAATAATATCAAATAAAATTACAAATAAAACAATGTTATTATTATAGTTTATTAATATAACTTCCACCAAAAAATTGCTCTCCCAAATATACAAAATGCTAAGAAAATCAGACAACGCATAAGTTCTACCAAATAATATTATATTATTAAAATATCAAATAAAATAAAACATTTCTCAGGTAATTTTTAAATAAGTGGATTTAATGATATATTCAAATAAAATAATATCAAATGAAATATCAAACATATATATGTATATATATATATATATATATATATATATATATATATATATATATATATATATATATATATATATATATATATATATATAAAATATATATATCATATATATATATAAAATATTTCTTAGATTATGTTTTAAGAATTAATCTAATTAAATATATTCAAAGAACATTTCAAAATGTATCTTAACATCATCATGGTTTGTTAATATGCTTTTGTGCGAGTTTTCAAAGATTTTCTTTTAATCTGAAAGTGAACAGTTTTAAAGTTCGGCTCAGTCAGAACAAACGGCTGAATTTGGGTTTGTTATATTTCACTTAAGAATGGAAAAACCTTCCACAAAACCTGTGGAAAATAAACAATATTTTTAATACATACAACAAGTTTTTTGACTTTGAATCAGGGGTGGGCAAACTCGGTCCTGGAGGGCGTGTTCAGGTGTGTTTGATTAGAGTTGGAGCTAAACAGTGCAGGACACCGGCCCTCCAGGACCGAGCTTGCCCACCCCTGCTTTAAATAAATAAATAATGTATATTGTAATAAATGTGAATGTAGTTTTTTCAACAGATAAAGGATTGAAAGACTATTACTAACATTTTTTTTTACATCATTAGAATTTATTCTCATTTTCCCCCCCAAAAAGGAAAAAGTCTAAATATAGAGAAATAATCGGATATGTTTAGTTGAAAAACAAAAGTTAAAAGTTCAATATTTTTATAAATGGATTTGCAGGAAAATACAGTAGTTTTTGAGAAGGAAAAATGTATTAAAAATGTATTTTCATTAGTGCAGGGCAAAGATTAATCACAATTAAAACAAAAGTTAGTGTTGACAATATATGTGTATGTATTATAAGTTTATTGTGTATATGCAATACACACACATAAAAACAACACTATACAAAACGTTTGCGATTAATTTTTGCCCAGCACTAATTTTAATTTTATTTAGAAAATATTATTTACTTCTGTTTTTTTTTTTTTTGTGAATAGTTTGTTTTAAGTTTAATAATTGTTTAAACAAATCTTATGTTATGGGATTTAAGGCCATGTACACGTTTTACTTTGTTAATCCAGTCATATGACATCTTTCTTTTCTTTTTTCTTTCTTTTTTTGTCTAGATTTGCAGAAAACAAGGTACATTTCCAGACGCAAAATTATATTTATCTCGATTTTGGAGAGAATAGAAAATTTTAATCCTCATGCCAGAGTTATGAGGACATGCATGGTGCTGTCATAATTCAATATGCCTAAATATCATGCTTAACAAAGTCTCATTCAAAATTTGCAGCATGGGTTTTTACAGTATAAAATACAATGCACCCATGGAGAGTCCTCATAAACCACCAAAACCCTTGCGTGTGTCTACTGGTGTATAAGGTTTACAAGTACAGAAATGTGTATAATAACATGACTATGACCAAGGTATTACAACATTAAGGTGGTTTATTAGGACATGCATGGTGTACTCATGATTCAAAATGCCTAAATATCATACTTAACAGGGTCTCAGTAAAAAATTGCAGTATGGGTTTTACAGTGTTAAATACAATGTACCTATGTGGAGTCCTCATAAACCACCAAAACCTGTGCATGTGTATACTGGTTTAAGAGGTTTACAAGTACAGAAATGTGTAGAATAACATGACTATGACTTAGGTATTACAACATGGTGGTTTATGAGGACATGCATGGTGTACTCATAATTTAAAATGCTTAAATATCATACTTAACAGGGTCTCAGTAAAAAAATGCAGTATGGGTTTTACACTGTTAAATACAATGCACCTAAGTGGAGTCCTTATAAACCACCAAAACCTGTGCATGTGTCTACTGGTTTATAAGGTTTATAAGTACAGAAATGTGTAGAATAACATGACTATGACCAAGGTATTACAACATTAAGGTGCTTTATGAGGACATGTGTGGTGTCCTCATAATTCAAAATGCTTAAATATCATACTTTACAGGGTCTCGGTAAAAATTTGCAGCATGGGTTTTACAGAATAAAATACAATGCACCTATGGAGAGTCCTCATAAACCACCAACACCTGTGTGTATACTGGTTTTAGAGGTTTACAAGTTCAATAATGTGTATAATGACAGGAGTATGACCTAGGTATTACAACGTGGTGGTTTATAAGGACATGCATGGTGTCCTCATAATTCAAAATGCTTAAATATCATACTTAACAGGGTCTCATTCATAATTTGCAGCATGGGTTTTTACAGTGTAAAATACAATGCACCTATGGAGAGTCCTCATAAACCACCAAAACCTGTGTGTGTGTCTACTGGTTTATAAGGTTTATAAGTACAGAAATGTGTGTAATAACATGACTATGACCAAGGTATTACAACATTAAGGTGCTTTATGAGGACATGTGTGGTGTCCTCATAATTCAAAATGCTTAAATATCATACTTAACAGGGTCTCATTCATAATTTGCAGCATGGGTTTTTACAGTATAAAATACAATGCACCCATGGAGAGTCTTTATAAACCACCAAAACCCTTGCGTGTGTCTACTGGTGTATAAGGTTTACAAGTACAGAAATGTGTATAATAACATGACTATGACCTAGGTATTACAACATTAAGGTGGTTTATTAGGACATGCATGGTGTACTCATGATTCAAAATGCTTAAATATCATACTTAACAGAGTCTCATTCATAATTTGCAGTATGGGTTTTTACAGTGTAAAATACAATGCACCCATGGAGAGTCTTTATAAACCACCAAAACCCTTGCGTGTGTCTACTGGTGTATAAGGTTTACAAGTACAGAAATGTGTATAATAACATGACTATGACCTAGGTATTACAACATTAAGGTGGTTTATTAGGACATGCATGGTGTACTCATGATTCAAAATGCCTAAATATCATACTTAACAGGGTCTCAGTAAAAAATTGCAGTATGGGTTTTACAGTGTTAAATACAATGTACCTATGTGGAGTCCTCATAAACCACCAAAACCTGTGCATGTGTATACTGGTTTTAGAGGTTTACAAGTACAGAAATGTGTAGAATAACATGACTATGACCAAGGTATTACAACATTAAGGTGCTTTATGAGGACATGCGTGGTGTCCTCATAATTCAAAATGCTTAAATATCATACTTTACAGGGTCTCGGTAAAAATTTGCAGCATGGGTTTTACAGTATAAAATACAATGCACCTATGGAGAGTCCTCATAAACCACCAACACCTGTGTATATACTGGTTTTAGAAGTTTACAAGTTCAGTAATGTGTATAATGACAGGAGTATGACCTAGGTATTACAACGTGGTGGTTTATAAGGACATGCATGGTGTCCTCATAATTCAAAATGCTTAAATATCATACTTAACAGGGTCTCATTCATAATTTGCAGTATGGGTTTTTACAGTGTAAAATACAATGCACCTATGGAGAGTCCTCATAAACCACCAAAACCTGTGTGTGTGTCTACTGGTTTTAGAGGTTTACAATAACATGACCATGACCTAGGTATTACAACATTAAGGTGCTTTATAAGGACATGCATGGTGTCCTCATAATTCAAAATGCTTATATATCTTATTTAACAGGGTCTCAGGTAAAATTTTCAAAATAGGTTTTTACAGTATTAAATAACATGCATCTATGGTAAGTCCTCATGAACCACTAAAACCCACATGTGTGTGTGTGTCTGACCTGCAGGTCTTTATGGTGGCAGTGTTTCTCCAGCTCCAGCGTCCTCTCTCTCAGCTCCTCCACGGTGTTCTGCAGCTGCTGGTTTTCCTCCAGAACAGCACAGACCCTCCGCTCCAGATCCTGCTTGCGCTCCGACAGCATCCGGATCTGCACACACACACACGGTACACACCGATCACACACCCGCAGACTCTCTGTATCTTCACATGAGCAATAATGACCGCCTCAGTCAGCGCGTTAGATGTGGTTTGGTGGATTAAACGGGTTAAATGTGTGGTGTTTGTGAAGGAATGCTGTGTTGCCAGGCTTCAGGAGGGAGTCAACAACACCTCCAGAGTCAGGAATGTGTGCTTGATAACGGAATAAATCCTCCTTAAACTGACTCCTGAAAACTGCTGAAGCACTCAGAGGCTCTTTAAAGGGTGCATTCTCACTGTGATGTACTAAAACTTGCAATGTGTTGTTTTCAATTTAGTTCAAGTGTATTTGTATAGCACTTATCACAATAGTTAGTGTTTAAAAGCAGCTTGACAAAAAGGTGCACATTATTGCATTGCAATTAAAATCAGAAAAGTTAATTTATTAGTTACCATAACACTTTATTAGTTCCTAATTACTTTAATTAACTAGTAACTAATAGCTTTTAACTGTTATATATAGTAGTAGTTATATATAGGCATAGTTAATCTGCAGTTCTATAGTATATAGGTGATGTCTATGTCTACAAGTTGGTATTTTTTACTGTAAAGTGTTGCCAGTTCACACTAATCTGTGAAAACACAAAATGCTGTGATTTAATGGTTATTACCATTGACCATTGTTATTACCTTTTGAAACTGAAAAAGAAATGTAGTGTAGAAAATGATTTCACTCAGAAGTTATTAGGGAAATCAAAAGTTGTAAATTCTTTCAAAATTATGGCATTTTTAAGAAAAAAAAACAGCTAACAATTTTGCTATATTAACACTTTTATAATATTTAATGTAATAATATACATTTTTGTTCTGCATTCTAAACAAACAATATTATGACAGGAGAGCAGCTAGAATCTTTTAAGGTCCCTGCCAGGATGAACCATTGCTGTGTAATATAATACTTTTAAAAATACTTTTATTCTTATTTAGTGAGTATATATATATATATCACAGAATAGTTTTACTTTGTAAAATATCCCTTATTGTTTTATTTTGGTTTAATTTCTAAAGTGTTCTTCTAAAATTGCTAGTAATAGATTGAATAGTGGCAAAATACAATACATTAAAGTTATTAAAGTTAAAGTTATGAAAGAACTTTTTACAAAAAAAGTTTATAAAAAATGATTATTTTTACAAATAAAAATTGTGTTCATTTTATATTACTTTAATAACTATAAAAATGTATGCTTTTATTTTTAATGCTATATTAGCATTCATTAATTCTGTATTGCTTTGATTTGTAACCTTTCTGGCAATTTAAGAAAGAAAATGTAAATCAGCTATTTTTTAGTCACAAGACATTTTTTTTTAGTACATTGCGTTTTTTTTTTTTTTGCATGACACATTATTGACACTAATCTAACTCCATAGTTTTCTGGTAAAACGTCATCTGAATGTTTATTACTACTTTGTATTTTTTGCGTAAATTATTATTGGCACTAAACTAGCTTCATATTTTTCAGGAAAAATGTGATATAAATTTTTTTAGTACATTGTGCTTTTTTAGTGAATTATTTTTGGCACTATTGTAGTTTCATACTTTACTAGTAAAATGTAATCTAAATGTTTTTTAGTACATGTGTTTCTTTTCTACGTAAATAATGTATGGCACTGGTTTAGCTCTATACTTTTCAAGTAAAATGTGACCTGGATGTTATTTTAGTACATTGTAGTTTTAGCATAAATTATTTTCGGCACTAATCTAGCTCCATTCTTTTCTGGTAAAAAAAAAAATTATCTAAATTTTTTAGAAAATTTTGTTTTTGAGTGAATTATTATTGGCACTAATCTAGCTCCAAACTTTTCTGGTAAAATGTGATCTGGATTACTTTTTAGTAAATTGTGTTTTTTGAGTGAATTATAATTGGCACTAATGTAGTTTCATGCTTTTCTGGTAAAATGGGATCTGGATGTTTCTGTAATACATTGTGTTTTTTTGTGTGAATTATAATTGACACTAATGTAGTTCCATACTTTTCAGATAAAATATGATCTGGATGTTTTTTAGTACATTGTGTTTTTTGAGTGAATTATTTTTGCCTCTGGTTTAGCTCCATACTTTTCTGGTAAAATGTGATGTGGAGTTTTTTTTTAGCACATTGTGTTTTTTTGCGTAAAATATTTTTGGCACAAATCTAGCTCCATACCTTTCTGGTAAAATGTGATCTGGAGGTTGTTTTTAGCACATTGTGTTTTTTGCGTAAATTATTTTTGGCACTAATATAGCTCCATACCTTTCTGGTACAATGTGATCTGGAGGTTTTTTTAGCACATTGTGTTTTTTGCGTGAATTATTTTTGGCACTAATCTAGCTCCATACTTTTCTGGTAAAATGTGATCTGCATGTTTTTTTAGCACATTGTCTTTTTTTGTGTGTGAATTAATATTGACACTAATCTAGCTCCATACTTTTCAGGTCAAATGTGATCTGGACGTGTTGATGTTCACAAAAGACCGACTGACAGTGAGAATCAGTGCTGGTCTGTTTGTGAAGCGAATGAAAGCGTCTTGAGCAGGAGTTTTGCTGGTTTCTCCCTCATGTCTTGACCCAGATCTGCTAACCTACTTCACCGCACTGAGGGAATCTCCCAGATAACACTGCGGGCCAACAGGGTAAAGCAAATTAACTAATACTCATCACCATGCTTCAGTACAGTAAGACTAAATGTGCAACTCAATTAAATATGCAACTAAAACTGCACATGAGTCATTAAAGGCACAGTTCACCCACAGATGAAAATTCTGTCATCATTTACTCGATCTTTACTTGTTCAAAACATATTTGACTTTCTTTCTACTGTTGAACACAAAAGAAGATACTTTAAAAAGTTATAGTTGTATTGTAGTATTGTCTTTTCTGCTATGGAAGTCAATGGCTGCCAGCAACCATCATTCTTCAAAGTATCTTCTTTTGTGTTCAACAGAAGAAAGAGGATTAAAACCACATGAGGGGGAACAGACATTTTCATTTTTGAGTGAACTACCCCTTCCACTGTGTTAATGTGCATTTTGAAGTTTTCCATGTGAAATGAGTAACGGAAACGGCAAATCACAATTAGAAACCGCTTTATTTGCAAAACAAGAAGTTTTAGGTTTGCTTGAGGTAGTTTTGCACTTGTTTGTAAAGGTTTAATGTGAATAATGGGAGATGTAAAAACATTTCCAGAATAAACTCTGTAAAACTTTTTTTTTTTTTTCCGAAAATGTCATGTAAAGTAGACCTGTTATGCAAAAATCACTTTTATAAGGAGTTTAAACACTTGTGTGTGTGAATATAACCAGCTTCTAATGGTAAACATGAATTAATTTGATGTTTTTATCATCACACTTGATATAAACAGTCTACAGAAACACTTTGATCGACATTCTCCCTGTGTACATGCCATCAGAGGGGGAAAGCCCCACCCACTAGTCACCTTCACTCCCTCATTAGCATAGTTTTTGATTGTGCCTCTTTGCTGACACATACTGTAGGCATCTGTAGCTCCGCCCTCTTTTAAAAAGAGCACAAGGTTATTTGAATTTAAAGCGACAGTCACCAAAACGGCACAATTAGGATTAAAGCCTAAAAGAGGCATTATTTGTGTGGTATTTTGTGCTGAATCTTCACACACACACACACACTAGAAACATCGGAGACTTATTTTAGATCTGGTAAAAAGGGGGCGTCATAGGTCCCTTTTTAAAAAGAGCTGAAGCAGACAGTGATGGAAGTGTGTTTGTGTCCTGGTCGTTTCTCTCTCTCTCTCTCTCTCTCTCTCTCTCTCTCTCTCTCTCTCTCTCTCTCTCTCTCTCTCTCTCTCTCTCTCTCGCTCTCTCTCTTTGACTGCAGTTTCAGGAACACCCAGTCATTGCAGCACTGCCTCTTGAAATAGAGCAGAAGTTTTCCTGCTGGAGTTCACACACTCCACATGGGGGATTCACTGCTCAAGAGCCTTTCCATCCGCACACTGCTCAGACTCTCTCATTCAGGTGTCTTTACACTGTTTGGATGGACAGAGCTCAGCTGATCCTGTCGATCAACTCAAGTTTGATTGACAGCTCGTCACTATTGACCACTAACCATGTGACTAAATAGCCTCTCAATCTTAACCTCCAGAGAAACTCACTGCACTTCTCCATGTTAATAGGACTGTTTTATTATTATAGTGCAAGTGTTTTAGTATCAAGTAATTAGGATACTTTTCATTACTTTTTTCCAATTAGAATTTAATTTTTAATACTTTTTTATAACTTTTTTTTTTCATTTTTATTATTATATTTGTGAGTATGAACACAAGACAAAGTCTTTACTGTATACAGCACATTTCATACACAATAGTAATTCAAAGTGCTTTACATAAACAAGAAAATAAAAACAAATTATTCCTTCATTCTTTTTCCCTTTCGGCTTAGTCTCTTTATTAATCTGGGGTCGCCACAGCAGAATGAACCGCCAACTTATCCAGCATATGTTTTAAGCAGCGGATGCCCTTCCATCTGCAACCCATCACTGGGAAACACACATACACACTCATTCACACACATACACAAGAGACAATTCAGCCTACCCAATTCACAGCGCATGTCTTTGGACTTGTGGGGGAAACCGGAGCACCCGGTGGAAACTCATGCCAACACGGGGAAACCAGGCAAACTCCACTCAGAATCGCCAATTGACCCAGCTGAGGCTCGAACCGGAGACCCTCTTGCTGTGAGGCAATCGTGCTACCCACCGTGACACCCCCACAAAAAATTAAAAAGATAAAAAAATAATAAACTGTGTTAAAACAGGTTTTAAATAAATCATAACAATGAAAAAACGCCACAAATAGTGTGATCGCTGTAAAAAATGTAGGGTTCTGCGCAATTTCTTCATGTTGTCCCAACACAAATCGCTAAAGTTAACTTATTTTTGCACATTTATGTACATTAAACATAAAACAATAAAGTTGTGCCAAAAAAAATCTCAAG